TCTACAAGAATGTCCTCGGACAACACATATAGAAAAGAACAAATTTTTTCCGATATTTTTACTTCTTTCAAGTACCTTGTACTATTTTGTTCGTTAAAAGGTCAATTTATGAGTTAGACAAATCAATCCGCATACACTGTTGATATATATTTTTATTTACCACTTGATTGGAGTGTGATTCATACCAAATACGGTTTAGTAATTTAATAGAGAAAGTAATTCAAACTTAAGCAAAAAATGATAATAAATTAATGTTTAAATGCAAATTATCCGCTTTACTTAGGCTCAAATCATGGCGTAAATTGTCTCTCAGTCTCCCTGTACACTTGTAACGAAACAAATCATAAATAAAGTGAGAACTATTTATTTTAATGCAGGGGTGAAAAAGCTAAAACATTTTTTAAATACGATGCAACGTAAAGCACAATATAATATTGACAATGAAAGAATCAGGTATTAGATGTTATTATAACGATTTAAAACGATTTTAGATAGTATGTAAGAGAATATTAAAATCCATTCCGTTTTGGTTTAATTGTGTCGAATAATCAAATGGATTTCATTAATTGTAAGAATGCAAACTCATTTGTTAAAATGACCGTGGTTACGTAAGATCTTTGTTATGGTTCATCTAATGCTCACCAACTCGAGTTGTTTATACCTACATATATACGTAATTCAGCGTAAATCGGTTAAGGATCTACAACTTCTTGTCGAATTGTTTTAGGAAACTAGTTTATTTGAATTGTTACAATATTATGAAACATTTATGGTCATTTTCTATGAAGCTGTGATTACTTGTAATTGACAGATTCGTTAAACGCAGTCGATATTAAATTGCTGTGAATAGGCATTTCCTGTGTGCCGTTTTTATGATCATTTGATAAACGACAGGAAGTACTGCAGTGTTAATTAACTGTAAATTATTTTGGTCTCGACGAATTCCAAAAGATTCTACCGTGATTGAATTTAATTAGGAAACTATTCAGAATTTTTGTTTTCTCAATATGTTCATTTAATTATATGTCTACTAGTACAGTTTTGTAGAAAACACGTTTTTATATAACGTAGTAAGTGTTAAGAAAAAATATTTAACAAAAACTTCTTTAATTGGAATTTTTAATTGAAAATCATATCAATCTTATGACATGGTGGGCTTGTTTAAATGTCAATATTCGTATATTGGTTCTTTGTTAATTATCTCATCATCATCAAACGGTCGTCAAGCCTAAGGCTGGTTGGACACGCACCTCCACTCTTCCTATTCTGAGCTAATCTTCGCATTTCTCTAAAACTAGAAAAACCCATATCCTTAACTATTTGCGAACAGTAATCTAATTTAGGTCTACCTCTACCCCTCCTAACTTACGTCTCTGTCTCTAATATGTCTCTGACTAGACCTTCATGCCTAAGAAGGTGTCCTATTAACCTATTTCGCCTATTTCTTATGGACTTCCATAGAGTCGTTTGTTCTCTTATTCTTTCTAACTTTCTCTATCCACGGTATCCTCGTCAATCGCCTGTGACACCACATTTCCAACGTTTCTAACCTTTTCTTTTTCGCCGCGCCCACTGTCCGTGTTTCACACCCGTACAACGCCGTGCTCCAAACATACACCTTTAACAATCTTTTTCGAATTTCTAAATTAATCGTTCGCGAGCATAGAAGTGACTTCTTTTTATTGAAGGCGACTCGAACCTGCGCTATCCTCTGCTTTATATCCATACTACTCCTTCCGTCCTGACTTATCTGATTTCCTAGATGCCTAAAATCAGCCACTTCTTTTAATTTTTCGTCTCCTATCTTTATATTTGCTCTTTCTACTTTCCTTCCATTGCCTACCAGTGTTTTTATTTTACTTTTATTTATTTTCATACAGTACTGTTTTATCAATGCCGCTTCCATTTTATTTAAACCTATCTCCAAATCCTCCTTGCTAGATGCTAATACTACTATATCATCTGCAAATCTAAGTATACTAATCTTTCGCTCTGTAAAATGGTGTTTGAGGATTGTAAGAATACATAAATTACCGTTACAATATACTTTTTCTTATAAATTTTCAATTTCTGATACCATTTGTGAGCTATTTTCAAGGAGTTTAATTTTTAAATTTACGAAAGAATTATTAATTTCAAAATCTACAACTTTAACGATTAAATCAAGATAAAACATAGAGACGGTATGTATAAGTTTTATGACGTCTGTAAAGTTCTTATTCTTGAGAAATTGAATATACGGGTAATAAAAGCACAAATTGTGTATATTTTATAAAACTAGCACTGTTTTGTCGACGGAAAGGTGTGAATAGTAGGTCAAATACGATAATTACTAAATAACATAACATGGGCATACATACAAATGTCACGTACTCAAAAATTTTTGGCTTCGAAATCAAAAAAGAAATGGTTCGAGTTTCGTAAAATTTGCATGTTATTATGCCGATTCTATATTTAGAACCCAGATGTTCAACATCATACACTTTTTCGTTGTGAGTTTTGGCAAGAAAATGCATTCTTTGGAAATATGCGCTCACAATTGCATACGAATGGAGCGAGAAAGTTGGATATCAAAGAAATCCTACTTAACTCGATGTTTACATTTCCTTTGTTTTTATTTTTTTTAACATTCTTTTATTGAAAGAATAAACCTGTAACCGAATAAGCCGGTAAACATAAATCGCAAAAAAATAAAAGACTGGAAATTTTTTTTTTATTAAATAACATGCAATAACTTCCACAACGTAGTCTGTAAGGCGACGTGTGGCGAGTTTCTAGGAGTTCATCACTCTTTTCTTGTAATTTGATTTTTTGTCAGGATAGTTAAGGATAACATATTATATATATGACTCAGTATTTTTACAATTATGTATATCATGGCGATACTTTGTATTTACAAATATAACATAATGCATAATGCTAACACCTAAATTACTTTGATATACATATGTTATTCGTAGTAAATACAAAAGAAAGACCTTGTTGTTATTATTTTGATAGTGATCTGATTGATTTTTTTACGTTTTTTTTACAATCAATAGGTACTAGTCGTATTGTACGACCCGGCTCTTGTTTAAATAATAATTTTCAAGCCTATCGCATATTTATCAAGAACAGAATTTGATTAAGAATAGCAAAAGTTTCCAAGAGAAAACAGAATGTGATGGGATAGGGACTGAAATTTTATTTTATGACCGCTTCATACAAATTTCGTGCTCCACTTTCTTGACTAATTTTTTAAAAATACTCCCCAGTTGTTTTTATGTGCTTATCTAGACCATTCTGTAACGTAGTGAATGCCAATTTTTTTTACGTAATCGAAATAATGTTGTTGTTTTCTCACTTCCAAGAATAAATAGAATGTAATTGAGGCAATGTAGTACTTTAAGATTAAATAACTGGCCAAATCTGTTAGGAAAAAAATACATTTTTTTTGAATTGGTACGTTGAACATATCGAATGACGGATAGTATAGATACGGTACGGATTTCTAACTGATTAATGGATATTTAATCAGAGCATATTGTATGACTATATATTTTAAATAATTCAATAACAATGCTTGTTTGTTTGTATATTTGTTTGGAGTATTTTAGCTAAATCTGATGAGCCACTTTTAACAATACTTGGATAATATGTATATATATATTGTGTCCACGATAATTAAAATTGATCATGTTATCATTATTCGTTATGAAAAAACCTGCAGGTAATTCCCTAAACGCAGAAAACTTGACTAAAATATTAGTTTCAATTTTATAAATAATAAAAAATGATTTTGATATTGTTAAATCAGTTTGTAATTAATTTGTAGCATTTTATAATACTGACTTTCTTGTTTTAGGTAAGTCAAAATAATACTTATATCAAAACGAAGAGAATCGCTAAAGCTATGTAAGTGATATTATATTTTTATATATTATAACGCCAAATAATAAAATTAGCCTATAAATACGTATATACACACTTATAAAATTTATATGCGTCTACATACTTCATTCTACTATAGCTATTCGAAATCATTAATGTGTATGAACCCATCTAAATTTCTTTAATTAACTAAGTAATAATTTTTTATGTTATGTATTAAATCTAACTATCTTGGGGACTTAATTAATAGCAAAAGATCTATTTAGATATTTGGACATATTTTTGGCGTTTTCCTGCAAATTGTAAAAATAATGCAATAACTTTACAACGTAGATTTTCAAAAATATGTTCCCTATTTTTATGTGATTATGATGACAGTTTATTACAATTTGGTTAATCGAAACATTCAGGAATATATAATTATGTTTCAAATAGGAATCAATACGTAGTAAACAATATCAATGTATTTATTGACGTTGATGTAAAATAACAAAGGAAGATGTTTTGAACATGTTCAATACGTTAGTTTTCTGCAATGTTACAAAGTGAAAAGAAGACATCAAATAATGTTGTAAAAGATGAAAAAATCTTTTTTAGAAATATTTAACCTGTAAATATTGTAATATGGCAAAAAGTTATCGCAATGCATTCTATAAGACGTTAGAAATTATTTATATCGTTCTATTAATGTGTTATTACAGTTTATAATAAAATTCATGTAACTTGTAATATAAGCATCCCTTTGAGACTGTGAGTTATCAGCTATCCAATCTCTTTAAATAGTTGCACATAGTTTAGTAGATAATCACCGATAGCACTACCTTAGACTAATGATACTACCCTAGTCTAAGGACACTGCAAAGTTATTGTAATGCTCTCTCTATGTCAGCATTGAACCATATAGAATTATATTGCTTCACTGCGGAAACCATGCTGCGATGATTATTAGATTATTTACTCGAGAATGAGCAAACCTAATCTTATTTGACTTTGACAGCAAATTAGACGTAAATGCAGAACCACCAATTTATGCTAATAATGAAATATAACTTTTTCTTTGCAACAGCGTCTTGACCTGTATACGGAATTATCTTTCACAGGATAGTGAATGAGCTAAATCTTATACCTAATATAGGAATATTTACTTCTAAATAGAAAGTAGTGATGTTGTAAAATCAGGATTTTTGATGAGAATAGCATCTGATAATTGGGAAAAACATTTAAAGTGTTAAATAATTTTCTGGCAAATCGTTTGTTCCAGTAAAAGGAGAAAACAAAAGTCAAATAACTATGAAAACCGCAAAAAGTTCTAAAATCAATAAAGCTTGTGGCAAACCCTTAAAGTGTATATATTTATTAGAGTAGATTACTTTACTAATGACATTTAATTACTGTGTATGCGCCTCACTTAAAGATTTTAATTGATTACCCACGTAAATAGTAATGCTGTTTAAAATCAGTTGCAATGGTTAAATTACGTCATGTGTTAACCAACGCGGAATTGAATACAAATTCTTGAAGCCACACACTGTCAGCTACCAGAATTAAATACTCTATCTAACAGATTCCTTCTAAACTTGCGGACGTTTCGAGCAGGCTTCATTCTATTAAAATCTATTTTAGTCACGGAGCATGGCATTTTGGCAACGTATTTTTGTATTTAGTGGTTTCAAGTAACAGTAAAAATTGAGCACGTGGACTTATCTGTTAAATATTCTGCAACTTACACAAGACAAGTAAAAAATTTGTAATAATAATGGGACGGAGAAAACAAAAAGATTTAAGAAATGGAATTAACAGTGCATCAATAAAATCGTCAGAAGAATCGAAATTGACGACATTAGTGGATAATCTTCTTAGAGTGACCACAGCACCGATACAACCGAATGTAAACAAAGCACTTGATCTGCAAATTCAAATAGCAGAAATTGTTAAAGAAATACAAGCACTTGAGAACTCCAGAGACAAGATTACTTCTCCGAGCTTCCGAAGCGATGGCGCTACGATCCATCAATTCTTAAATTGGCTGAATGAAAATGGCGCTGAATTTGAAGGGATCGAAATAGCTAATTTTCCGGGTTACGAGTTGGGTCTTCAAGCTAAGAAGGATTTGAACGAATCTTCTCTCATAATATCAGTTCCTCGCAAAATAATGCTTACTACAGAATCAGTAAGTGGAACTCCTTTGGGAAGTATCATACAAAAGGATGCCCTCTTGAATAATATGTCTAACGTTGCTTTAACGTTAGTTTTATTGTTTGAAAAGTTTAAAGATGACTCATTTTGGAAGCCTTACATTGATGTTTTACCAGTTAATTATTCAACAGTCTTATATTTTACATACGACGAATTAAAAGAACTCAAAGGGTCTTCAGTCCTGGAAACTGCTCTGAAACAAATAAGAAACATATGCAGGCAGTATGCTTATTTACACAAGATGATATGGACTTCGGAAAATCCTTCGTGCAAACTGCTGAAGAAATATTTTACTTTTAATCAATACAGGTTAGTAACTTACAGGCAATTATAATTAATTAATGAAATATAAACAGAGAATAGACTAGTTATAAATTTACAATTAAGGCAGTTACATACCACATTAGTTACTCATATAATTTTAGGACTACATTCAGTATAATTTTTATTGATGCTGAAAAAGAAACACAAACTAATCGTAATTTTTAACGTATTCTTAAAATAAAAAAAATCACTATAGTCTGTTCACGCTTTCGACCTGCTAGTCTGTTAGGTGTTCAATGTTGTCATGTTTATACAGAGATAACACAGTGATAAGTTGTTGACTGAATGTCACGGGCTGCTAAATAATCTATATGAAAAAATAAACTAATTTCGAGTTCAACTTTTATCTTTTAGATACACTGCTGTATAAATGTCAGACATACTTACCTTTTTTTTAATAGAACACAAACCCAAAATTCCACAAAAAAAAACGTTTAATGAATCTAAATACGTTTTGACACTTAAGGTATCGACCACAGGTTTAGAAAACCGTTCTAGGCTTTTTAAACGTATTTACCTATGTGGAATTTTTAGTTTTACTGTTTTATTTGATTCAATTTCACAGAACTCCTTTTGACTTTCTTGTAATGTCTTTTTTGATTGTCTTGATGAAAAACCATAGCAAATAATATACATAAAATATATAAAATGAAAATAGTACTAATTTTCACAAACTACTCGCCTCAAAAGGACAAAATTTAGTGAAATAATTGTTGCAGAGATAAACAATAAAGTTAATAACTTCCATTTTACGGTGTAATTCTGAGTAAAAGTATAAGAAAAGACAAAATTTCACCTTTATTTACAGAAATAGTAACAACATTGTCTATAAACAAACATAAAACTTACGACTTACTTTAAAGTGTATCATTGTATACGTAATGGTTGAATATAAATAAAATATTGCACGTAAAAAAATCACAACCCCTGTCTTCTCAGCTTAATTTAATAACATGCCACAGACTCGTACGGCTTTCGGTCTTCATTTTCTGGCACTTGTTTTATAAAACTAACAGGATCTCGCACTTTCTTTGGTGGAAACTTTTCCGGCACGGAAAGTGTGAACGTCTTTCTAAGACTACCTCCCAAGATGGGATATTTACTTTTGTACTCTGAAAAATGGTTCAGTAAGGACCGTCTATTTTTCTTACGTCTTGATAACTTAAACACAAACAAGATCGTCAGAAACACAAACAGTGAAACTCCTACTACGGAAAGACTAGCTAAAATGGCCGAAGCGATTCCATTTTGAACCGTATTTGAATCGTTTCTTTTTTCTGCAGGACCTTCATCAAATTCCATTTGTAACTGGTCGTTAAATGCATCCGAAAGTTTATCTCCTAAATCATCTATTCGGCGTACATCATTTTCTAAAATATCTTCGATCTTCTTCGATATAAGAAGACTATCGTTTTCAATGTCCCCAATTGCATCTGCTTTAGACAAAATGTTCGTCCACAATATTTTGTTATTTTCAACTTCCTGTGAAGATGAAATGTTTTTATTGATTCGTATCATTGGAAATGTCGTTGTTGTATAACTATCTGCTGTATTTACTTCTTTCTCAAAACTAGATAGTACTATTGCAGTACTATTCTGAAGGGACATTTCGGTTTCATCTTCGAGGGCTTTTGGTTTTCTTTTAGCTAATGTTAAAGACCCCCGCTTTGCAGATGTCCGGATATGCCCTATAAAAGGTTCTTTAGGTGGTTCTGGTTCTTTATTTTGATTATGAAACAGATCAGCCAGATGTTTCTTGCTAGATCCTCTTTCTCTCATTTCTATCAGTTCGTCAAGTGTAATGTTTTTCAATTCTAAAATTCGTGATAGTCTTCTGTTGCCTTCCGGATCTTTCATCATTTCCATTATCTCTTCTTTTGCGCTGAAAGGTCGTAATTTTTGTGGCAGTTCTGTATCAGTTTCTTTCGTATCGTCTTTTATTTTTGCTAAATTGTTTACATTTAAAGACATTCTAACTGGCCCTTCATCATAAAGGTCTTTGCTGGCGGTGGTTGTTTTCTGCACTTGGTGTTGGTCATTACTATTGCCCACTATGGTACCTTTAAATTTCTTTTTTATGTAATTATTCGAATCTGAATTTGTTTTCTGAGCGTTGGTTACGTACGGTATAACAGTAGTTGTGTTAAGGATTTCGTGTTTTTGTTCGGTAATGTGCAAATATAGTTCCGTTGTACTTTTTTGGCCAAACCTATGTAGTTTCTTTCTTTCATGTAGGCTGTCAATATTTTCAGCTTTCTTTTTTGTTAGTTCTGTGTGATTCCAAGAAAAATCGTCTCTTACTGGGTTCTTATATTCCTTAACGGGCTGGCCGTCTATTGTAGATGAATCTGTTAAAGCAGAAATTGCCTGTTCCTTGCCCATAAGAAGGTCAGTGAGCGACAGATTTTTCTTTTGTAACACTTCACTAACAGATCCAGTCTTCTTAAGTATGTTTTTGATATCTGGTGCACCTTTTCGTCTTTTTTTTATTTTGTCATCCTCTTCAAGCGCAGTAAACGGATCTCTGACCTTTTCATAGAATTTTGGGGAGGGGCTTGTTAACTTAACGTCTAAAGCATCATCTGGACCAAAACGTTCAAACGATAGATCATCTTTCTTTCTTGAAGCGTCCTCGCTGCTGCCACTTTCGAATGTAGGACTAGTTCTTCTTCGATGGTGAGGTTGGTCCATCATTTCTTCACTTATATTTATCCAGGAGTCGTCTATTTCATCCAAACGATGGGGTCTAACTTTTCGACGAATGGGTTCAATGGTCATGAGTGAATCAAAGTCTAACTCTTGTGCTTGTTCGTTTTGTGGACGTCGTTTCCTTTTGCGGATTCTTCTTCGTCGTTTTATAATTCTAGGGCTTGTATTTTCTTCTAGTGGTGACGTTTCTTCATTCCATTCTGGGAAAAAATGAGGTTTGTCTTCTTCAACTGCTCGCCATTCCTGAAATTACAGTTTGGCATTAATAGCTGTTATTCCCACTATTCTCAAGTTATTATTCAGTAATTTTTTGATATCTAATATCTACTATCTTAAAATGTTAATCATCTTCCTTCGAATCCATTAGAAAACAATTTGATGAAGTGCAATTTTCACCATTTAAACTTAACGATTAAACGTAAATATCTTTACAATTAGAACCAACAAAATTAAAAATAATGGTGCTTCTTGTTGTTTTGGAAACTAATGACATATGTCTAACATGTATATCTGATTTCTTGTTCCGATTACACTTGCTTGGTTTAAAGGTAAATGAAAAATGAACTTTGTAAGCAGATACACTGTCAAGGTAGTTTTTAAGGTCATAAAATTGAAAATCCGGGAATCCGTTTTAATTACAATACCTAAATCTTGTCTTAGAAAGTGCTTTATTTGAACTAGTTAGTTGTAAACGTGTGGCAGATGTTGTCTCGAATATTATATGGGAAAATACGTGAAATTCGATTTCACTTTAGCAAATTTTTTGTGTCATTGCTTTCATGAGCATGTCTTCGACATAAAAACAGTACACGCGAGAGTTTACAAATACGCGCTCATTATCATTATATCGTATTCATCTTTTGGTTTTTACCAAGTAGGTATATATATTAGCCTTAATTTGTGGACTTTCGTAAAAGAATTTGCTAAAAGATTAACTATATAATTACCAACAATTTTCCTTTTTTTATTTAACATTAATCATTCATTGTATATAATCAAAGTCAATAGAGGCAATTTTTTTTTTAATTTCTAAAAGAAATCAGTGGCGTAGGGTGAATTTTTGCCACCGATGATTTTCCAGATCTATTACAAAAAGATATCCGACCAGGAAGTTAATAAATTCTAGTAGTCGCTCTATCCATGACAGCCGCGTGGGTTGGCGCTTGTGTACAGAAGTTTTGTATGATACAAGATTTGTAAATTACAACAAAAACATTAATTTCAATTCAAAAAGTGTTAATAAAATACTTAGGAACAAACGTAAAATTATGTGTATTTGCGATGGTTTTATACATAACTTACTTTATTTACATATACACAATTCAGAATAGCAAGAGGATTTTGAGGATTCATCTCAGGATTTGTAAAGGATTGTAATTATTTCGGTCCTTCAAACAGATTAGATCATCACTATCCCGACCTTCAGTATTTTTATTGTTGAATTCATTTCATACCTTCACAATGTTTTAAAGTTTCAATATCTCAGGATTCTGAATTATTTTGCTCATGATATTTATGAGATTTAATATTATGTAGTGCTAAATGTAAATATAAAAAAAAGTATCTTTTTTATAATATATAGACGAAATCTATAATCCATTAGACAGTTACTGTTTCTACTTTTTGGTATATGTTTTTTTGCGATTGATTTCAACTGTTATTGTGCTATAAGAGCTTGGGTTATAATAACGACCTTCGTCGCTATCAAAGTAAACCGTTGGGGTTCGACTATTAGATTTTGTTGTATTTACTAAGAAAAAATGTCGTACAAGACATTTTTTTTTCAAAGATTTTTTCCATACAAAAATCTTGGTATTTTTGCGAACCCAAACGGTAATGTACAAATTATTAAAAATTGGTACAAATGCCAAGAAATTGGGATATTTAACATTACTGTGTGGCGGACCTGTCTCATAGCGAAGAAAACATATTTTACTGCCCCCCACGTTTACGTCGCCCGAGGCCCATAACTCCCCCTTGCCCCCCACGCTACGTCACTGAAAGAAACCACACCGACGTTTCGCATTGAGTATAAACTTTGCCGTATAGTCCATCCGGTGAAACGTCGGTCGGGTTTATTAAAATAATAAAATAACCCTATTGACTTTGATTTTACACAATTACGAAATTAACGGATGAAATGGAGAATATTGATCATTAATTCCCTTTTAATAAATTGTTTAAATTTTAAAGTAATTGGAATCGGTATGATGTGAAATTTTCCTTTTCAAACGTCACACATCCGATAAAATAATTCTGCCAGGGTTCTAATAAACATGCAAACAATTTCTTTTTTTCTTCATAATTGCAGTTTGTCTATTCAAATGTGGCTTTTGAATACGTTAAATATACATAAATGCATTGCGAAAACATACGTAAAGTTAGCTGACGTGTATTAAGCATACGAACGTGACTTTTCTCGTAAAATTATAATACGTAGTACAGGATTGTCAACAATACTGCACTTTTTTAAAATTTTGCTATTAACGAGTAACGCACAGGGTAGTTTTTATACATCCGAACGTGACAAAACGGTTGCACATTACAGTGCCTACTGTTTGGTTTTATTCGTCAATAAGTTTCCCAGATTCAACAATAGTTTATTTTTATAATGGAATAATCCACAAGAAACTCTGATATGTATCAGCTTGTTTGGGTGTCAGATTAATAAACAATATAGCTACCTATACGTTTGATCTAGGTTTTTAATGATCACATATTCTTAATTTATGGAATAGTTCTTCAAAAATTAATTCAATAGCTGATATTGATACTGCATTAAAGGCTGGTCAAAGTAGGAAGATTTTTAATCGTAAATCCTAATCCCAGAACTAGGATTATATATTGTAGGTACATGTCAAATATTAACTTCCATACCAGTTTCTCGTTAATCTGTGAACCAGAATTTTTATCGAAAGATAGTTTTTAAAAAACATACAAAGATACAAATTGGTGTTCGTTTGTTAGGTTTTTCAGAAAATAAAATGCCCTGAAATGACATTTTTTAATTTTGCATTACATATATTATTTACTCTCTCAACAATCCTAAGAAATATGCGTTATAATGTGCTTAAAAAGTGGCCGTAATCCCGATTTCGATAGAAGAATGTTTCCGAGAAATTCAATTTCAAGTAATTTTAGGAGTTTTGGAAAAAAATAATTAGATATAGAAAAAGTAGTGACGAGTAGATGAGTGGGAAGATTGAAGGGGTAGAGTGGATAAAACATTTGAAAATGATAATGGAAGAGAATGAGGAGAGTGTGATAGGAGATTTTGAGATAAGGGATGGAGTGCAGTCAGGTAAAAGAGGAGGAGGATTTAGAAAGGGATGAAGATGTGGGAAGAAGCAAGAAAAAGAGGTTAGGGAGACTGAGAGAGGTGGGGTATAAGGAAGAAAATATGGAGGAAGAATAAGAATGAAAATTAGGACAAAAAGTAGATATGATAGAGAGAGGGAGGGAGCTTTGAAGGTTTTAATAGTGAGGAATAGATGCAGAGAAATAATAAGAGAGGATTTAGAAAAATAGAGGTCTAGATAAGTAGTGAGGGTAAAGGATATAGTATCAGGACGACTAGGTGGCAAGATATTCAGAAAGAGAGAGGAAAATAAGTGTAATGGCAAGATATAGAACAGAGAATGAGTGTAGAGGATGGATATACTGGAAAAAAGAAGAAGGCGATGTAGGATATCTAAAAGGGAGGAAGAGAGCTTGAAGCAAGTGTTAAGAGGATGTGAGAATGATGGGACGTGGGAAGGAGGATGAGGACGGGCTGAGCCATCTAAAGAGAATTTTAAGGAATAGGAGGGTAAAACAGAAGATAAGATAAGGATTAGGTGAAAAAAAAGGCTAAAATAGGATTAACGGTTTGTTTATTTGGTAATAGGATTAGCACTTAGAATATAAGATAGATAAAGAAATTTATCCAGTCGCACTTGAAATAAAAACATTGTAATTAAAAATCGAGGATTTACGTTTTTTAGTGAGAAATATTAAAATTGTCAAAATCAATGCTATATTCGAATTCAGTATGCTAGAGTTAAACAGACAGAATCAAGTATTATCTGATTAAAATTGAAGAAACAGTTTTCAATACTGGTTAACATTGTTGTCCTCTGACGAGAAACCTAATTAATTAATGGAAAAACGTCCCATTGCAATAATTTTCAAGGATATCCCCACTACAAATTTCTACAATAACATCAGCTGGTCATTTCGAAGGACTTTGTGCTAGTGATTTTTCTTTTAATTAATAATGTAACATTAGAAGAATGTAAAAAGTGTAGGTATGTTCTTTTCAGACTTTATGAACACATAGACAGATTAGTCACGAGTAAGCGATTGTGCATTAGGGGTGCCTTAATAATATCTTGTACCACCTGAAATATTTGCCAGGATCATCGCTGCTAACATTAATTTCATTTATTTTTAGTCCTTGTTTTATCGCTCAGAATAAAGTTCTAGTTTTGTGCTCTTTTCATTAATTTCAATTCAAAAAGTGTTAATATACTTAGGAACAAACGTAAAATTGTATATTTGCGATGGTCGTACATAACTTACTATATTTACGTACACAATCCATGGCAGCCGCGTGGGTTGTCGCTTGTGTACAGAAGTTTTGTATGAAACAAGATTTGTAAATTACAACAAAAACATTAATTTCAATTCAAAAAGTGTTAATACTTCATTTACATTTACACAATTCAGAATAGCAAGAGGATTTTGAGGATTTATCTCAGGATTTGTAAAGGATTGTAATTATTTCGGTCCTTCAAACAGATTAGATCATCACTATCCCTATCTTCAGTATTTTTATTGTTGAATTCATTCCATACGTTTACAATGTTTTAAAGTTTCAATATCTCAGGATTCAGTTTGCTAATGATATTTATGAGATTCAATATTATGTAGTGCTAAATGTAAATAGAATATAAAAAGTATCTTTTTCATAATATACAGGCGAAATCGATAATCCATCAGACAGTTCCTGTTTCTACTTTTTGGTATATGTTTTTCTTTGCGATTGATTTCAACTGTTATTGTGCTATAAGAGCTTGCGTTACTATCATAAAGTAAACCGTTGGGGTTCGACCATCAGATTTTGTTGTATTTACTAAGAAAAAATGCCGTACAAGACATTTTTTTTTAAAGATTTTTTCCATACAAAAATCCTTGTCCTTGTTTTGTCGCTCTAAATAAAGCTCTCTGGTTAATAATAATTATTAAATCAATTATTGAACATT